CGATGGCCATGCACAGTAACACAAAAACTTTTGCATCGGATTTACTTAACAAGGGTCTCTTGTGGGGCTGAAGGATTGTTTAATATCCTTATTCTGCTCAAAGTTCTGAAACAGTAAACTTTAATTGACAACGATGCCGCGCCTAGGTTTTGGCACAGCGGCGTCCTAACACCGTGCGAAAACATAATTCAACTTCGTCGAATGGGTACTTCAGCCCACTCGAGATTAATCGCTCTTCCTCTTTTTCTGCTTGGCTGCCTGTGCCGTCCTCAGCGGACAATCGACGGGACTGCTCGAGATTTCCCACCAGAAGTTGAACAACTGGGAACCGGTGAAATAACCGACACCATATTTTCTCTATGGGGCCTGTGTTTCACTCTCTCACCCTCTGACATGAGTTGCAAACCTTTCCTAGAGGGACTCCACTGTTATTCCACTCCGAGCAATTTCGATGGCGGCCATTTCGAAGAAACAAATAAATCCCGTCCAGCATGTCCCTTGCCCTTTTCATTTCACGCTAAAGCAAACAGGATGCGTTCCATACAAAACGACATCTGGAGCCCAGAGGTTACTGCGTAGAGGCAAATAACTTCAACGGCGAATAACACCCATTGTTGTTTTCCTGTAAAAACATTTCTTCGTCTGAGATGGTCTGCGTTCTCGGCGAAATATTGTCGCTCTTATTCAGACGAAGTCCCTGTGCGGAGTCGTTTGCTATTCGCTGCCTCGAAGTAAGCTCGAATACCTGTTTGAGTACTTTTGCCCAAGATAAACACCCCTTCCGAATGTTTATCTTCGAGGCAATCTTGGAAAGTGTCGGTTCCAGAGATAAAATTTTATGCATACGAACTAAACCAACTGGGTCTTCACATGTCCATTCGGTACAAATAGATGTATGTTTTTGTCATGAAGTTTGGTCGGAATGTTGACTTTCGAGACAACTGCAAACGTTTTCGAGAGGCCAAAATATTTGCCAGTGATGCCGTTGAGCTACCCTCGCGCTAAAAGTGGAACTCCGTGCACTCACACTAGATAGTGTTGTGGTGTGCCATGCGTGCTCACATACTTATTTTCCTCTAAATGTGCACAAAAATCCGTAGGAGGCTTCGAATGGATGTTAAACACACGGGGCCAACGGCGTTCAGCTTGTTTGTTCTGGTTTCTAACTACTTTGTTATGTATATTTCCATTCTCTTGTGTGTTCATTCACTTATCGCGGTCAAGCATGTAAAATAACGCTGTGAACAAATGGGTACTTACGACATTTTAGAAGACTGTCAGGAAGCCCCAATCACGTTACATAGTTCCTCATAAATCAAGAAAAAACAATTGAACTGAGTAAGCACTTAAGGTCGAATTGAGGTCAAACGCATTGTTAACTACATGACCAATTCCAGCATGCCATTTTTTCGGCGTCCTCAAGCTCGCTTGCCTTTGAAACGTCGAACGCCAATAAAATGGTGGTTGGTTGTTCTGTGGTTTGATCTTCGCATAGCAGTAACATTTCTGGAGCTGCTTGTTAAAATACGAGCAATCCATCAAGTGTATGGTCTTTAACTGGACAAGATGTACGTGTTTTTACTCTTGCTGATTTTCTGCCCCCGAACTGTTCCGTTGTAAGCACCACAGCTTAATTCTTTCTAAATTGTGTTTTCCATAATGTAAAACCAAAAGCACTCCAACCATCATTTCTCAAGGGGTGCGCGGAGCACTGGCTGACCCCGGTCCGTCACGTCGGCTTCGTGCAAGCCTGCACGGAGATCTGATTAAACCGATGCAACCCTTCAGAACGTCTTGATTACAACTCCATCCCTGACACAGTGTCTGAATGATGTGAGACTATACCATCGGCTGTCTGACAATCTACATTCCTGGAGTCGTCGCGAGATCTTAGGATAGAGCTGGGTTATGCACGCTGTGTTCTTGAGGACGTATATTCACTAAACAGTTTTTTTACCCACCCCCCACAAATCCCTGACGTGTTATATTCAAACTTAAGAGTAGCTACGTGCATCTTTTTAGGGATTGTCTTTGACGGCGCAATGTTTGCTCGCGGTGTAGAACCGATTTCATTTGAATTTCTCTTTCCGCCCGTAAGAATTGAATTGCAACTTCGACATGCAGGCCTATACCTGCAACAACTGAATGTTTTGTCGGTGCAAATACTGTTTTCCGGATCTCCTTCAAAAGATGTACATATTGCCCTCTGGCATATGGTATACGGTCGCTTATTGGAAAGCCACACTGAAAAACAACCAAAAACAAAAAACCATGGCTTAGCCTAAAAGACAACGAATTGTGCGTGTTTTTATAGTATGCACATTTTTGATCGCCCATCCCAGACCATGGACTTCTGACATTCATATTTTCCGCGCTATATGGATCGTCCCAGCGTTTACCAAAGCCTAACTGCCCATATTTCAGAGACATTGGCCGTTCTGAGTGGCCCGGTGCGAAATCCCCCCTCAATTAGGGTATCGTCCGCTGACAGGGGGGATATCAGGTTGCTCTCAGTCGGAAAACGAGAGGTCAGTTTTCTTTATGTGCGGAACTTTAGTGAATTTTATTTCCAATAAGAGTAACCCGAGAATCTATCAATTTGATTTTTTGATAAAGGGAGTTTTGAGAGATGCAAAATGATAATTTCAAAGGCAGCTTGTACTTTCTACAACTTGGAAGAAAGGTTGGGATTTTAGGGAAGGGACGTTCACCGCAACGTGAGATGCAATCATAAAGGGCTCGTGGTGTGAGGACCGTTCATGCTTTTTAGTTGTAAACTAAAAGGCATGAACGGCAGTGTTGGTAAGAAACAAAGTGCACATTCATGCTAGCCTGCCCCCATACATATTTATTTCAGATTTCTTAAACTCGAACGGATAAAAGCAAATGGACTGTAGTTCTTTCTGTCTTAAGCCTTTGCTTTCAAAAATGAACATAATTATAGAAGTGGTATTTTGGGCCAAAGGGAAAAGAAATCTCGTCAGATAAGACGGAGTTTCCATAAATCTTATATTTTCATTTCAAAATATGAGAAATGCTGTTAACAGATGAGTGTGCGGTTGGAAGTAGATTTATTATGGTAAGCCTAAGGACATTAAGATTGCAAACACAAACCGCATTGGAAAATACCCACGATACATCAGTAATTTCATGTACGTGCACGCTTCATATTGCTGTGTAGTAGAATTTTACATTGAAAATGTTGTCGTGGTGAGTCTAACAGCCGTCCGTTTCCGAGATTTACACTTTGTCCCGAGAGCAAATTTAGTGGGAAGATGAAGTCCCAAGCCTGCGTTTCTCATGTGTATGAAAGCGGCATCACTTTCGATTAAAACTACAATGTTTTGCGTACACTCAGTCGACGTGGGTTCATTAGCTGTATAGCCTCGCGTGTACAACCGGTCAAGTCCGTTTACTTTGGTACAGGCCCTTATGTGGAGAATTTGCCTGTGTAAATTTGCGCTTTGCAGAGTTTCAAATTGCCAGTTCAAACGTAACGTTTTACCCATTATCCCTACCGTTAGCGTGTTGCGTGCAGGAGGTGTTCCGCTGACCGGAATGCTGAGCGGATGTTGCCGGCGTCAAAAATTTGATAGATTTAGGCTAATTTTTGTTTTTTCAACTTTCGTTTCGAAAATGACAGTTTGGAAAGCCGTGAGTTATTGTCAGTGTCATTATTCAATTAAGTTGATGTCAATTGCGCATTAAGCACAGTGCAGTGAGTTTGGCAAGGGCGAAAATGAGAAATGTGGCTCAGCCACTCAGGTCGTTGTTTTGCAGGTAACGATGCCGTAATGGGATCGTGTAATTCCAGACAGAAATCGATAACCTACAAGATTTCCCGCCAAAACAAAATCGCGGAAACCCAAAACGCGCCACAAATTCGATCGTCGGCTAGTGCTCCGGGGAAACGACAGTAAAGAACATTGAGGAATGATCGGCTATCCCGAACTCACTCGACTCTCTTTTTTATCTCCTGATGTGGCATGTTTTCAAACAGACCCGAGGCTGTTGTGTTTCGGCGCTGGCCAATTGGTCCATCGTATGCAATAACACGAATTGTCTGTTTACGCTGGCAAGCTTCTTAAATTAATGGACTCCTGTGCCAACTTCTGTCGTTAGGAAATATGACAGGTGTGGCAGGATTCGTTCACTTATTTTTAAACTGACAAGCGCAACGATAGTCCGTTGGCCGTGTGTTGTGGCAGCAAGGATATGTATGCGCCGCTGTATGGCGTTCAGTGATACGCAGACGTAAAATCAAGGAAAGGAAAAATCAAGTATTCCAGGCTGTTTTTCCTCGCAGGTTATCATTAAGGATGCTTCGGTTCCGGCTCATTAGTATCGATTACGATGAAATTTTCATCATACACTTCGATTATCTTGTCCCTAGATTTTTTTTCAGTCAGACGGAGTGTATTTTTAATCTTTGAAAATAACAACGTGTAGCCCTTCAGTGCTACGACTATTCTTTTCTCGAGACACCTGTTGAGTTCTAATTATAAATGCAATGCAGGAGTGAAGTTGAATATTACATTGGAATATTGCAAAGTCAAATTGGAAGAAAAATAATTCAATAAATAAATACCTGATAATAGAGGAATCAATTAACTACACGTTACCTTTAATCTTAAAAGCATTCGATGCGCGTTAGGCTATGTATAGGTTTGGGACCAACGGTCCTATCTTCTTCACAAGGATCATTGGATACGGTATGTTTTTACTGCATATTCCTAAAACAACAAAGTAAAATGTGCGTGGAAGTATATTTAGTTTTAAGTCCTATAAGATCTGACTCCCGTCGGCAATAATAAACTTCTGAGCTTTCGTCTGTTTACTGTATATCATTTCCCTCGTAATTGGCGTCTGTCCCAAACAGCATGCTTCCAGACTATAGGACTCCTTTTTCACTAATCAAGCTGAAAAACAAGGCCGTCAATATCGCCAAAGCCCGCCCCATATCCATCTATTCAAGTAATTGTCTGTGTTTCTCTTTCTAGAATAACGCTGAACTCGCTGAAGCAATACTTGATTGTCGGACTCTCTCCTGCGGAAGTTTTAGTGGCCCGGATGTTGTTATTCTATCGTTCTCACGGGAGGAGATATGCCCACACAGATTGGCCGGCGTTGGTTAGAGGCAAAGTTCTCCGATCGGGCTGCTGTTTTCTACTGATTGCCATGCGCAAAACGTCACTGAACCCGTGAGCAAATTTCTTATTGTGAGTTGGAAATCCTGTTGCTCCAAAATGACCAGCTGTTTTTTACGACAACTTCTGCGGGAGTTTTAGTGGCACTGTGGAAGGCTGGTGGGAGCAACAATCCGCCTTGAGAATGCAACTCATCCCTACCCTGTCTCTGAAATTAAGATAACTGACAGACGCAGATTACAACTCGTCAGATGACCCCCTTCGGGCATTTTGTTGACGTGTATCAGGTCCAGTCTCTAGTGTGCCACAGTGCTTATTACGACGGTTCTATGCCAGCAAACGAGTTAGAGAAGGTATTGGTGTGGATGGTTTGTCGTCGTGAGTTGACGGACTGTACTCCAACCTGTCATTTGGATTTGAAGAGTCCCTAACTCTTGGTTGCTGTTCGGCCGCAAGTCCAAAGGAAGTGATGGAAAACGAAACAGAGTTGACAACCTTCTCCTTTCCTAACGCCACAGACGACCTCGATGACCTGGAGTTGGAAGACATGTATTACAAGGAACCTGTTTGGGTACAGGCCATCTTCATTGCCCTGTACGCTACCGTCAGTATCCTGGGGATCTGCGGCAACGGTATCGTGTGCTACATTGTCCTGGGACACCAGCGGATGCGCACGGTTACAAACTACTTCATCGTGAATCTGGCCATTGGGGATCTCCTGATGGCGGCCATGTGCGTCAATTTCACCGTCTACGCCACGCTGTACACCCGCTGGCCCTTCGGGGAGGTGATGTGCAAGCTGGTGTCCTTCTCCCAGACCATCTCCGTCTCGGTCAGCATCTACACGCTGGTGGCCATCGGCGTGGACCGCTACTTTGCCATTATCAAACCCTTGAGGCCCCGCATGGGCTCCACGGAGACGCTGTTCGTCATCGGGGTGATCTGGGTGATCTCGATTGCACTGGCTCTGCCCACGCTGCTCTTCACTACGGTGGAGAGCTACGGGGAGGCCACCTTTTGCACGGATGGCTCTTGGGAGGACTCGCTGGTCTACTCGCTGATCTGCATGGTGTTGCAGTACTTTCTACCCCTGACTTTGCTTGCTGGTGCCTACATCAGGATCGGCAGGCGGATCTGGGGTCGGAGAACCCCGGGCGAAATGGAGGCTGAGAGAGATAAGAAGATGAGTGAATCCAAAGCAAGGGTAAGAAATGAATGACAGATCATTCTATAAGTAGCTGCTGCGTTTGCTCCGATTTGGTGGTTTAAAATAGTATACACCCTAAGAAGCAAGCACTGTTGGAGGGCAACAGGGGCCATTCTTCCACCCCCCCAAAAGAGCCTATAACATCGAGAGAAAGCCGATGTTTTGTCCATGTCGTTTCCCTCTCTAGAAGTGCGGTAAAAGCCCTAAAATGTAGCATCACCACTCTGAGAGGTCATAACAGGCCACAGGAAACGTTTATCAGTTGTCGTCCCTCCCCCAAAAGCTTGGCCTCCGGAAAATATGGTCCCGTTTCTCCCCTTGGTCAGAAGTGATAAGGTTTTTCCCTTCCTGAACAATTGCAACACCCCTGTATGTCTCCAAATACTACCCACAAGGCAGCCAATCTGTCTAGTTCCTTGACGATGGAGATGAAATGACTATAACACTCCTACTTGTACCAGTTCACTGTCCTATGGTTGCAGGACACAAATAAGAGTCAATCGAGCAAAATGAGTCACGAGACTCCAGAGCCACTTTTGAGTTGAAGACTCTCAAAAAATCCTGCAGAGTATGAATCAACAGGAACTCTCAACACTTTTCATCCACGATCTCCGTTTCCACCAGAAAGATGTCAAACTGAGAAATACATAAAACAAAGAGCTTAGTTGATCTTGCCTGATGAAAACTACAGCAAAACTCATTTGAAAATGGTCCCCAGACACATTTCATAGGATCCTGTTAGAAATCTTAAGCCTCGCTGCAGCTTCCTCGCACCCTCTTGAACAGCTCTGGCTGCTTTTAATCCTTCATGGTTTGCTCCATCTGTTGATTAATTTCAAGTTGCCCACAGGTAAATACGCAAGTTCCGTGTCCATAGCCGCAACTGCAGCGTTTTTGAATGTGCAGTACGTGCCACGGCTGGGCATTCTGTCTACTTGGCGACGCGAGATATATATGTTGTCGTATGGATTGAGGATGCTTTGTGGATTATACCCCAATTTCTAAGCCTCTCCGCGTGGACTGGGGTAATATCGGCCTCTGATTAATATTGAGTTGAAAAAAATAGTCTCGTATATACCAGTGACCCCGTCGAGCTGTACCACAGCATATACCGTAACAAGCCAATGACAAACTTCCCACGCGACTGAACCGAAATATATCCACATCGTTGTTTTTTATTTCCTTTCAGCTGGTGAAGATGTTTGCCACAATCGTGCTGCTCTTTGCCCTGTGTTACCTACCCATCCAAATCTACACCATCGTCCAAGACAGCAACCAAGATGTCCTCAAGTACCATTACATCAAGGTGGGTTTATACATCGATGCAAATGGAGCGGGCAGACTGTATGCTATCGCCCGGTACCAGGGCTTGAATCAATCCCACAGGAGGGTTGCTACGCAATGGCTTCCCTTTTTTGTCAAAGCGCGCTTGCCACCTCCAACAGACGTCTGGATACTAGGTCAACCATTAACCGATGATTGATGGATTCTGATCCATATGGGGCGGCCTCGCCTCTTTCACGGTCGATTCAAGCGAATGTCTGGATGAAAGTGAAGCTGTAGTAGTCGCAAATGTAAAGAATCAGTAGCACTTTAATGACTAACCATTAAGGTAAAACTCTGCATAAGCTTTCGTAGCTACAGCTACTTCATCAGATGCAAAAGTGAACATCAAATGGTGCGTTCTAATCATCTTTGGTATTTCGCTCACGCCTAGTAAGGTGCAGATTTCTAGAAATTATAATTGGTCTGGTTTCCAGCCTAGCTTGAAGCATTTTGATTGAATAACAGACCACATCATCTGACTGAAAGCCACCCGTGGTTTCCACTGAACCAAAAGTCAGAGAACGAGAGCTGTTTTCAGGTTGCTTGTTGACTGTAACTGATGGGCACTTTAAGGAGAGAAAGTCTGGGATTTAACTCAAAGAATGTGGTGTGAATTTACGGAAACGAGTTTTGGCATGCATACTTCTACAAAACCTAATTTCAATATTTATCGCACTGGACTATTTACTTGAATATTATTTTATGCTATATAAAATGGTGACAAGTTCAATCAACAGCTCCTTAATTCCTTCTGATAATGTTTAGTTAGGCCCATTTGCCCAAACAACTTAAGTAAATGATTTGGATATGGCTGACGATCATCAAGATGCCCGTTTAGTGTTCCAACCAAATGAAAGTATACCAAATGTAGTCCCACGTCACAGTACGTATGCTGGTTCTGCAGATGAACCTATTGTGGCGGGATTGGATTTGGGTGGGGTGGAGTTTGGAGGTGGGGGAGGGGTAGGATGGGTTGGAGAGTCAACCCCGCCCATGCTCATTGCCATGTCTAAAGGTTGGAACACAAGAGATAAACTATGTAGGGGTCTTATTTTGTGCGGTCAAGAACAAAACAAATAATTTCTTCACCATAGTACCCCATCCCCGTACGTATGAGAAATTATTTCCCTAACTCCCCAGGAAAAACCCTGGTCCACTTGTGTGTTGGATTTCAATCTCACATCACAGCATAAAGGAATGAAGCTTAATACCAATGGAGCTGTTCTATGATTTTCTTTTAAGTAACCGGGGATGTTTCGACTGAATTGTTAATGGAATATGATGAAAAATCAAAAAACTTAAGTCCTGATTATGACTATAATCAGAATTAATTATCACTTTAAAATTGTGACGTATTTCATGTACGTAACCCTTGGGTAAACGTCACAGGCCTCTCTGTTATCGTTACGGCACCCAGCGTCCCTGTGCATGTTATTTGGCATTACAGTACATGTCATGTGCTGCCGGTGAGGCATAATTGTAAGATGTAAGTTATCAGTATGTCTTACTACAACATCTTAGTAATAATTATGAGATTTAAGTCGTAAATATGACTTCATACCAAGTCATAATTTGAGATGTAAGTCATAATAATGATTTTGCCCACTCTAAAAAACAAAATCACCATGTCCCAGTAACACTTCCGTATTTTTCTTTATAAACTTGTTTCCTCATAGATTATATACCTATGTGCGCTGCTGGCAGCTATGAGTAACTGTGTCTATAATCCGTTCATTTACTGCTGGATGAACATCAAGTTCCGGAACGGGTTCCGGTCCGTGTTTCGGTTCCTACCCTGTGTCAAGTACCAGCGGAACTGGAACGGGTTCAAGGGGCTGCGTCGGGCCAACACAGGCCAGACCCAAATGGAGACCATGTCCTTGGGCTCCCGGGTGGACCGAGGCAGGTGGTGGACGCAGGACCCGGGGAAGACCAACAAGAACGGGCGGGCATCCAACTCAGACGGGGAGACGAGGACGTCGTTTATGTGAGGGCGGGCTAGGGAATGCTAAACCCAAACTGGAGGCTGCTCCCTCGTTTTGATCAGTGAGTTTGCTATCACATGCTCAACAAGTCCAAGTCTGAATAGCTGGGCGATGGCTAGTTCCATGACTTGAGTTTCTGACTGAAAAGAAATGATCGCTCTTTACTGGGCCTTTTAAACTCGTCCCAATTTGCCTGATTTTGTGAAGAAGAGTCACTCCTCAAAATGCACGTGTACCCACCTGGAAACGAGGTTGCAACGGTTATAATGATAGTAAACTATCATTTTATCCATATATAGACATTCCCTGCCTCAAACAGAATATTTGTATCATTTACTAGGTAGCATCAAAGTTATTTTGATCTCAAATTCACTTGTCCACGTGGAACACTCAGCTAGGCCTTTATGTTCCATTTATGCACGTTGTTTGAGGAGTTGAGGATTAGGAAAAGTTGGGCGAGAAGGTTACAATAAAAAGTGCCTACCATAATGCAAAGAAGATGTGAAAATATGTGTCAAAGTATACCATAAAAAACTGGTAGACTGGATGGTTTGTTGAGGAAGGTGAATCAAAACGGGGTGGGGGCATTGCATTGGGAAAAGAATGAGAATTCCCCCAAATGTCGGAATTCGGTGATCTGCATGGATTTACTCACAGATCTCGTGAACAATAAACTGAACGCTCGACGTGGGGTTTGTGGAATTCGACACCATCAAGCTTTTCAAGATTCTTTTTGAGCACACAGCCAGACTTGAAGAACCCGGTTCCCACGCACTTTGCTGGGAAACCTTTATGCACGAAAATCAAAAGGCACAATTAGTTGGAAAATATACAAAATTCGAACTGTGTAATACTTTCATAAAGACAAAATGACTATTAAACTGATGGCTTATCAAATGAAATTAGTGTTCAGAGAGACTATACCTTAGATAAAGGCGACCACGTATAATATCATAATATTCGCACGTTAATTAATTAAGATATAAATACTCCAAAAACTAATATATTTAATATTTATCATTGATTTCAAGTGTAAATGGCTTTCTGTGCCTATTACATTCTTTTGTGGTTGAAATCTGCTCTTTAGTAAACTCAGGATTGTACAGTACTGTGTAAATTGAATATATTATATAAAAGCTCTATAGGGACATAAAGGTAAAAATATTGACAGGACCCAAACTATTATCATATTTTCAGCATCGATTAACTTTTAAACGATGTCAACGCAATTGCCTTTTTCTTAATCGGTTGGCCAATCTCCATGCCAAAACTACAAGGTATGTACAAATTGTAGACATTCCAAATACTTAAGGCAGTAGTATTAAATTGTTGTCGTTGTGTTGTTTGTTTCACTGTGTTTGCCTACAACACAAATTGTGATATACTGCATCTGATTGTGCCGGTATCCTCATTGATTTGGCAGTACTTAAAGGAAGAGGACTGTACCTGCTATAGTAGGAGTATAGTGCCTTTATGAGGCTGGTAATCCATTGATACCAAGGTTTTCCTTTTGAAAAGTTATTGGGCGTGTCATGCTTAGTGAAGCTTTAGCTAGATTCGGCTGATCATAGTATTACACTATCTCTCTCCTCGGCTGTAGGTTACACAGGGAAAAAAAACAACTTGTTTGCTCCATATTGGCAACTTGCAGAGCGTGTGTGATATGAAAAGATTTGGTTGACGTTCAGGCATGATGGTCATTCAAACTTCAGTGTTTCATCTTGAATCATATAGTGAGGGAGGCCAGTTGAATTCTGTCGGTTTAACTCCCCACTAGTCTTGGCAGCGTTGCAAAGTTCGTGTTTCCTGTCTGACTACTGAGCTGCCAAGTCAACATTGTTATCGTGAGATCTTTAACGTTGACAAGAATTTTTTTTTAAATTAAACGAAGGGATTTGTGAGGGGGAAAAGGCAGAGTGCCGATTCTCGAGTATTCTTAATTTAAAATCTTGTATCCCTCCTAAAGCTGTTTAAATTGATGACCCTGACATTCCATCAGATGACCCTGGCGATAAACACCGGCGATATAATGCAAATGTGATGAGATGGGATGTGGATGAGTCGTGGGGAGTGCATGTGGGGAGGGAAAGTGGAAGACATTTGAAAGTGATAAAAGAGGCGAACGAGACGAATCACCCAGCGAGAATTATCGGGAAAGGTGAGAGAGAGGAGACAACCGAGACTGATGGATGTCTTGGAAGAGTGTCTGAGAGAGTAGAGACGAGAAACCCAACGGGGAAACACAAGGAATACGATAACTATCAGAAAGTGATCCAAATTGTCCTTTTCATAAACACCAAATACCTTACGTTCGGTTTCAACGGCTCAGTTATCACCTGCTGATGATAGTCATTATTCTATGCTAAACAGTTTTGCTAAAACGGCCAGAACAAGTTTATACAGCCCTAGGGTGAAACTTCAGTATAGCGGACTGACCTACTTTGGGTAGGTAACGTCGCTCCTAAAACAAATTAAGTGGCTTTTAGTTGCAGATAGTAACAAATTACCCCTCCATCCCCCAAAAATAACATCAGTAAGATCAGCAAACTAACGTTTTGTCTCGTCTCGAAGAGAGTTGAATTGGCTGTAGGCCTCCTTTTAAAAAATGCTTCCAGGTTTTATTTCAGGCAGTGAAGTAAACTGAGAATGTGGCCAAAGAAGTTGCTTCAGACAATAGAAGTGAGTGACAGTTACAGGAAAGTGAGAAAGAAAAAAAGCTAATGTGTAGGTGAAAAGTGGGATTCTGGCCAACACTGGCACGAGAGATTTCAAATTGGATTGGAAGGCGCGAAAAGAACAAGAAAAGACGAAATGATAAGGGAGAGGAGTGCTGGACACGTGGCACTTGCATACTTCTAAAATCCCTATGGAGATATCACAGATTACATCTTTATTATCATGAAATTAGGACAAAGGCTGCAGACAGTACTGCACTGGTTGTATACGAAAGTTTGGGGTCACGAGATCCTACATTTTTGCTCCTTTGGGAAATGTCTCTTTACAGTAGCAACGGAAACAGTCAGAAGAATCAGTAGAGCTTGCATTAGCCTTTTGTCGTAGCTATTAACTGGAAAAATCACAGACTGTTAGAAAAAGTCTCCGTAAATATATTTCCAGATGGTCAGGATGGCAAAACGTTAAAGTCATTCAAATGATAAAACATTAACGGCAGTCCCTCTCTTGACGACCACAATCAAGTATAGGCCTATTTCTTTTTTACTTTGGTATAACTACCAAGTGATATCATTTTCCTATTAAATGAAACAACTGTTTCATAAAAGGTGTTCCTAAGAATAGTAAACTTACAAGCTAAGTCTGTAGTCATTGCTGTAGCTTACATGCCTCTTATTCCTGCACCCATTCAATTCATGCATTCAATGTCTTGAAACAAAGACCTATGACGCAAATGTGCATCTAGAGAGTTGTTTATTGTTTGTTTGATTTAATTTTTTTTGTTACTAGATATCTAGTGACGTCATAAGTGAGTGATGTGATTAGGTTGTTGCTGCGACCGTAAGAGGCAAATATACGAGAAAGCAAAAAAATAAAATCAATTTTACTATCAACAACAAAGTTATCCTTGAAATCCATCTGGTAGTTGTTTCACTTCAGTTTGTGTTTGTGTTTAATGGTTTAGCGGGGTAAAATCGACAGCGCCTGATATTGTCGGATTCAATGTGTTTGATACATACCAAATTACTGGTAACAGAAACGACATGTTAATTTTGCTAATAATTCTCCAAATCATCCTCTGCTGGCTATTAGGCTGTGTAAACCAGCGCAGAATGCACCATAACGTAATGAAATTAAAAAGAAAAAACAAAAACTCTGCTTCTAAATCCATCGTCTCGAAAGGACAATATTTACTGTGATCATTGCTTGCGGCGTAATTCTCACTTACAAGTAAACCATTTCCTTTTGCCATCCAGAGAGATCAGTCTCCCAGCTTTTTTTATATCCAAAATAATCCTGTTTTAGAGTGTTCTCTGAGACACGGCAGAATAATCTCATTCGGCGACAAAGACAGTCGCTCTCGGGGAATATATCTAAATCGTATGTATGCCGTTAAAGATGAATTTTATCAGACTGCTTTCCTGGGAGGGTAATACTATCCAAATTGCCTGAAGTGCGTGCAGATTACTTTTTTTTAAAGTGTCCAGGCATCACAGCCTCTGTGGGCTAAATAGGTTTCAAGGAAATGAGTTTAAACCATTTTATGAAAAGCGCAAGAAAAATTGTAAAAGGCATTTATGGGATTTGCGTAGAATTTGCAAGTGTCATATTTACACGAACACTTGTAACTTCCATTCTTAAAGAGACTTTGCGCGGTAACCATCTTGCAGGGCAGTTCTTGTTCCACAGAGAGGCTTCCTTTGTGCATACGATGTGCAACAAAAGACAGGCACTGGCCTGAAAGAGGGCAGCCATGCAAATCCTCTATAGGCACTACGTTCATCAAACCATGCACTGTGTCAAGTTTAATGGCTAACAGGACCCTCACGAACCTTACGCTTCCCGGGTCCTCCGAAGCTCGGTCAGAGTTTAGAACGCACGTTGCCGATAAAGCAGCCGTAGAACTTTCATCATATTCTCGGTCTCATTTTACATTCTTTGGCATTAAACTATGCAATGCCCTCGGGCAGATGAAACCCAGAAACTTCGGAGATGAGGAAGTGACGATAGTTTTACCACAATGACTCTTTTTTTCTCTCTCTTGAGCTGCGAGAGATCAGATGGGCTAGACGGATTGCATTCCCCCCGCGCGCGCTTGCTCTCGACTACACATTTTGCCTTTTCCTTGCTCGCCACGAGACAGCATTTCACGTGATCCACTGGACCGCATAATGTTCTCCCAACTTACACCCCCAGGCAAGACTTCGTATTTTTGTTGTCCCGCATATCATTTTTAAGCTCCATCTCTATCTCCGTGAACAGTGACATTTTAATCGTAGCTTGTTCTCTCGCCGGCAACAGCTGCTTGCGAAGGTGGAGTGATTTTTTTTCTTTTTCCAACGGGCGGGAAGAGAGAAGTCGGTCGCGAGGTTGACACCCAAGTGAAGCGGGGAGAGAGGCGGTGCATGAACCCGTATCATGTCGACAAGACCCGTGGGGCGTGCATGCGTTTCTTTGGCGATGTATTTTTCACCAACAAGAATATGCAAAGTTAGGCCCAACAATCGTAACATGAGAAAATTCATGCACCTGATATTCCTGAGATATAGTATCTGACCACGCGACTTGGAATCTTGGAGGAAAAAGTTGAGGACTGTCTACAATGTCTTTAAAGCGCGGGAGAAAACCTACTGAAATTACAGCACACCGTGGAGTCGAATAACTCTTTTTCTGACAGATTTCGAAGACGAGTCACGCACTGGGGAGTCTTGAGAACATCAGAGCCAGAAATGTTCGTTTTTTCCCCATATATCGCCTATCACGACCGGGGACCTTTTAACTTGTAAGTTATTCGAAGTGTCTGGTGGACACGTTTCTCATCTTAAGCAACGATAAATTGGACCCGGACACCACAATGCAGGTACTGTTTCTTCCTCTGTCAAGCACTCGCGTGGGGGAATTGATCAGCATGAGACTGAATTAACTTTCTAAAGATCGATTATGGTATGTCTCGATTTCAGTTAAGTACTGCTATCTGTTTAGTTAGGACTCAAACCCATAAAAGCGCTGAGATTTAGCCTACGTGCATCAAGAAGAGCGTTCGCTCTTCAAATCAATCTAAATTTCAAGTTTTACAAATTAGTAGCTATGGGCTGAAATTCAGCCTGCACTCAGATTTAAATGCCCACTGCAAAATCGTATTCCTTACGCGGGACTTGTAAGGGGTTTGCTTAAGAATGTAGACAAACGTATAAGCAACCAAACAGAGCAATAAAAAAACATTTCTCAGCTCTTCCATGTGTGAAGAGCACGTGACAGAGGCTTTGCATTTTGGCCATGTTGAAGGGCAGTTGTTTCGCCCACAGAAAGCCTCCTTTCTGCATACACAATGGAACAAAAGCACTGGCCTGCAAGATGGCAGCCATGCAAATCCTCTCTTGGCCATGGAAAATTCTGTTACTATTTTGACCTTTGATTCTTGGGAAGTGTAAGAAATTCTGAACAATATCTGTTACCTTAACGCAGATTTTCCCACCTGTTCTCTCCACAGTACGCCGTTATAATATGTGGCTTACTGTCATTGAGCCAGGCGTGTATTTCTCGCTGGGGTACCAGAGGGGGATCACTGCTCATCGACTCGGGGAGGGGGCGGGCGGACGGACACAGTGAGTTCACTGCACAAACTCCATAAAAATCAACCCAGCTCGTCTCAACGTCCCCTGGGATTACACACGAGAGTTGGAGGCTGGAAAAGTCCCCAACGAGTTGGCAAGATCAGCCTCGGTCACACTCTGCAGAGTTCCTCGGAGACAATTCCACGGCACGGCGTGACACGCCGAAAAAGAAATAAGAATTCTGACATTTCCTTCCGCACGGAACCGGCAAACAACGAGCTCCTCAGCAAAGGATCACTCAGTGGAAGCATTCTTTTCTTTTCATAGGCTACTTTTTCCCGATCGATAAAACATCAGCGAAAAAGGGACCGGAGGTGTCAAGGACTACTTTTCGACTTCAAGAATTCCGCCTCGATGTTCAATGGAACTTACCCTTCTGCTTCAGCGGAGATAAGACATACGCCCCCCCCAAGTCTGTTGCAACATCCCAATCGCTGGCTCCAGATCCTGACACATTTCTACCAAAACCTGTCTTTCGGCGGTTTCTTCTGTCGGCTGCGTGGCAAGGGTATTTTCTCCCAAACACTGGCTAATAGCGTTCGTGGGCGGATTATATCACTGACTGGCATCGGCAGGGATTCGATTTCCTGATAAAAAGCATGAATGCTTGAACCTCTCAAAAAAATTAAGAGCCACCGAAATATGAAGACTTGTGTGAATGCATTTTAAATTCTTGTGGGGTACCACTTTAGTACCCCACAAGGATCAAAACTGGCCTTGTGGGGTACCTTCCATTGTTCCGGTACCCCACAAGGCACCATGTACAAGTGCAACTCCTCCCGAAATCTCTGTTATAAACCAATTCTGAAAGTCGGCCAAATGCTAATTTAATGAATAAGATGAATTGATGTATTTAAGATTCTTGTCTACACAGCAGGTGGACAAACTTTTAATAGCATGCACACAATCAAAGTACGCTTCGAGGACTACGCGCCTTATATAAATCCTATAATTGTTCGATCAGAATCAGTCAACACTGAGAACGAGGAACCCCGTTCGTCACTCATATGTGATCAATATGACGCAATTAATCTAGATGTGCCGACTACAGGGATCAGTACAAAACATGTTTTTTTTAGGAGGTTGTATAATTTGCCTTGCCCACCTGAAAGCCCCCGGAACTTAAGGTGAGAAAAGATGTGATGTCGAATGTAACCAGGGACCCTTTTACTTAGCTTTTAGCACAGCAGCTAGCGGCATAAACAACCCAAGAAGAGACATCTTATGACAGTCTTTTTGATAAATGTGAGTTTGAGATGACATTGTTTACCTTGCGTCTACGGTCTCATGTATTTTGGTTAATATTAAAAGACAGTTTAGCATTGAGTCTGTGGCTTAACGTTTAGAGTCAGTACTGGTCCAATGATATTGGAAAAGATGAAAAAGTTACAGATAAACAGAAGGGTCACCATGTTGAATAGCCTGCATGAATGTGTGAAACTGATGTAGAGGCAATATTTCAAATAGGTCTACGACCCGATACGGCGGCTTGACTGAAGAGGCTATTGCTGTCGTGATATTACGCGCCAGACCGCGCACTGTTCGCGCACGCGCGTTAAATGCCTCTCCAACCACCGCAGAATGATAATGCTTTTGGTTATAACTCAAGATGAATACGTGAGACATGCGCACATCGTGAGCAGGGTACACTTATGTCGTCTTAACCTTCTCGGATTAGTATTCTGTTCTCGATATTCACGCATAATCATTGCATTTGCATTTTAACAACAAAACGTGGCGGTCAATGTCTCTCTGGTGAGGCAATTATTCCTGTTGTGAAAAAAAATTCAATTTCAGATTTGACACCGGTGCGCCTCGGTAAAGGCCTGCAGACACCGAATGGACACAGTATAGCAAATGGCAGGAATACCTCCACACAAAAGAAAGTGCAAGTGTACAGGAGAAAATGAAAAAACAACAAAGCCGAAATCCATACTTAATTCATGAAGCAGACACAAGCGTCAGCGCCAGACCGGCGGAACAGCGCGCCAAACTGGTGCTCCATATGTCAACTCTCGCTTGGACAAGTTTTGCGTTTCACCCGTCGAATAAGGGCAGAAAAAATTAATTTGCAATGACATTCGGGAACATGTGTGATTACAAGCCGAAATCCCCGAGAGTGCCGGCCGACCCTGGCCCAGAAGCCGCGATTGATTCCATTGTCGGGGCCGCATCGTCGTTTTAATTTAATACCGGAATGCCGTGGGAAGACCAAATAGCCGCCGGCCGGATGTTTCTGCGCCAGGTCTCAACTGCAGCGACCGACTCGCTGGGGCTCTGTCCACGACATGGCCGCCT